ATACGATTGACGACAGTGGTCGCACTGTCCCAACACATATCCACTAACTCAGCTGGCCCCGCGTGCACGATCGTGAAGAGCATCCTAACCGTTCTTTGCCTGGCTCTTTGCCTCCACCGTGACTGCAGCGGCCTCTTGCTTTCGGTGTTGATTGGGACGCAGAGTGTATTAAATGGCTCTATTGCCTGTAGGTGCATTGCGTGCTGGGTGGGCTGTGCGTGGTGTGGGAGCGGTGGGTGCTGCCCAAGCGGTTGCTTTGCTCTCGGACTGCTCACTCAGTGGTCGCCCTTTTGGGCGGCCTGAGAGGTAACCAGACCCGCACTCCAGCAGCACGACGGCCCGGGTAAAGGGAGGGGTTGGGGTGACGTGCCCCGAGTGCGGGAAGCAGCAGCACGCATCGTGGCAGGTGCGCCTCCAGCAGCCGCTGTTTTGCTGGAAGGCAAATATGTTGCTTGCGGGCGGAGGAGGAAGGAGAAATGAGAACACGGGCGAGTGCATCCCCTGCGCCCTCCGCGGGGGACCGGTGCTTCACGCGATGCACTCCGGAAGCATGCGGGTGCGGCGCACGGTACAAATGTTTTTCGGGTCAGTTCCACCGCGCCCGTCGCCAGCACCCTGTCGAAGTAATTTGTGCCGACCCGGAAGGGGAGGCTGATGAACCTTTTTAAAGGGTTCTTGGCGAGGGGCGCGACGTCCGCACCGCGTCTTTATCCTTGTCGCTGAGCGAACACCAGACATCGACGCCGGCAGATTTTACAAGGAGAATGCATGGTGGAGAGAGACACTGTGGTTTGGAAGCGGCGTGGGTGAGGAGGCACCGGGGCGCATCTTTTGCTGCTGTGCGTCTCTTGCGGCCCGGCGAGCGAAGTTCTGCTTGGAGGGATGAGAGGTGCCGGAGCGATGCCCTGGTCAGCCACTGGCTCAGTTCCTTTGCGGGTGCTCGGTCCCCCAAACCCTGGCTTGCTCTCAGCCGGCAACGATCGAGGTGATGTCGCTGGTCCGTTGGAGGAGGGATCGCGGTGAGTTTTGCAGTTTGCTTTGTTTGGATTGGGCTTCAAGCAGGAACTCCGGCGCGGTGGAATGTGTTTCGGCAAACGCACATTACTGCCTCGTTGCTCTACGGATCTTGGAGGAGTAAACGGATCGTGTAAGAGTGGTTGGCGTTCAGCTTTCACATCTTTGCATGGCGACGAAGGTGCATCTGACAGCTCTCATTTAGGGGCGGGGTGAAGCCACACGTGCCGATGGAAAATGACTACGTTTGAAAATGGAAAATGATGTGCTTCTATGCATGCGGTTGGGTCGCGGCAGCGATGGCGTTGGCTAGCGGCTTGCCGCGGTGACCCTTCGGCGGTGGTGACGGTGTTGCCTGTGTGGTGGTGTTGGCCGTCTTATTTGGCGTGGTCTCCGTTTACCGTCACGGGGGTCCGTGCTGCCTGTGGATGCCGTGTGCTGGTGGGCGGCGCTGTGGCTCCGTGGTGGATGGCCCGTGTGCCGCCTCTGTTGTGTGCGCATTGGGCGTGTGCGTGGCGGTGATGGAAGCGTGGCTGGGCGGGAGGAGGTGGGGATGGCTGCGGTCGCTCCCATCCTGTGCGTGGGTGGGTGCCCACATGTCCTGTCCGTGCCGATGGTTTGTTCTTGCCGCGCTCTTTTCTGCGTTTCTGTTTTCCCAGGACTAAAGGCACAAACGGTGTCTGGTGGATGTGTGCGTGCTGCGTCGTGGGCGGCCTGCACCGCTTTTTTCTCTCGTGCTGGTGTGTGTTCTGCTCGTGTGTGCCGCAGGGGTGTGTGGGGGCGGCAGCCGACGGTGAGCGTGCGAGTCACGCCATGAAAGAGTTTGTGTACGCTGAGAGGCGTGCGCTGCCACCGTCGTCACCGGTGGTGGTGGTGGGGAATTGACACTGAAGGTTGTCTCCGCGACCCGCGCAGAACCCGTCGAGAGGCTGAAGGCCGAGCTGAAGGAGCGGCGTGCGGACTTCTTTATGGGCGTGACGGTGGGAGAGGCGCTGCTGTTGCCGAGCCTGACGTTTGTGGATCCCGTCGCACTGCCCGTGGCCCCGCAGTTTGAGCGGCGCAACGTGATTTACCTCGCCGCGACGCTTGCGCAGGAGCTATACAGGCTTGCCATGTACCTCTCCGCCTGCTCCGTCGGTGAGGCCCACGCAATCATTTCGGGCCCGCACAAAGCTGCCGCCGCCGACGTGCTGCGCTGCACACTCGTGACGTTCGACATCAAGCTGAGGTCGTTGAAGCTTTTCGAGTGGCAGCAGACTGTCACGCAGGACCTCCCCCGTACAGGGTGGGTTTTTGTGCTTGGCATCTTCAGCACCGACCTCCTCCTCATTTTGGGCCACGTTGCCGCGCACCTGGACCTGCACGTTCTGATGTCGTATGCCGAACACAATCTTCGGTGCTTGTGCTTTGTTTCGCAGGGAGGCGGACGGTGCCACGGACCGCGTTTTTTACGCGAC